TCCATTTCTCCTCTTTCTCTTCTCTTTTCTTCTTTCCTTCCTTTTTCTTTCTATCTCATTTCTTTTCTATCTAATTCTCACTTATACCTCTTTCTATTCTATTCTATTTCTCCTCAAAATACCTCTTAAAATATTTTCTCACAAAATACCCCACTTAATATAAAATACTAGATGTCTAAAATACACGTTAATCTATTTTCCCCGAAAACTCTCCGAATCGGTAAAATAGCACAAAAAGCAATTAAACGTATCGACACATAAATTCCATAATTAAAATAACATTCATCCAAATAAATCAAAAAGGACTCAAACAAATTGGGAAATTCAGAATCGGGGCGTTACAGATGGTGTAACCCTCTTCGGAAGGCTCCACCGATAAATCAACCACGGGCGTATCCTCCCGAACTCTCGCTCTCTTCGGGGCCCCTTGGGAAGTAGGCGACTGGCTACCGGTCGGTGACGCCGACGACCCTCCTCCATCCTGCTCAGCCGAAGACTGCCCGACCAACTGAGCCACCCGCGTCTTCAGAGGAACAGCAGCCCTTGACACGCGCAACTTCTTCGCTCGCTCCTCGACAGAAGCCATATTCCCTGCATGACAAAAGAAAAATTGGTCAATACAAAGCCAAGGATGTCAAATTGAATAAGGACGAGGCGTCCACCACCTAGATAGCGAAGAGCGTCCTCCTCCAAGGCACACTCGAGCAGGGCTTTTGTGTTGATCAACCTCAGCTTCTCGCGAATGTTTTTGTAACTGTCGAGGAGATATCGTCCGTCGGGGGTGACCAGCTTTGCCGGCGGTAAATTGCGCACGAAGGAAACTATCTTCAAATAGCTAGCCATGTCCTCGTCGTCAAGCATCCCCGCCCGCACGATATACCCACTTGTTCCCCGGGAATAGTGGTCCAAGGACCATTCCACGTGCACCCGGGGCAGCATGACGGCCTCGCGACGACCATCCACTATCCTCTCCCCCTCCGAATATAAAGATCGGACCCCTTCGTGCGTGATAGGGCTGACCACAAAAAAACGGCCTTTGAAATCTCGGACAGAATCCATGTACGTCCTAAAAAGTCTGTCCGTCTGTTTGAATGACACCTAGCCATGTCGACCACCCACCGACTGCCGCTGCAGATAGAAAATACGAAAGAACAGCGGCAGCGTAACGCCGACCTGGAGATATTGGGACACCAGCTCAAAGGCCCGAATAAAAGCCAGGGCGTTAGGGTGCAGCTGCGACGGGGCCAACCTCAGCCAGACGAAGAGGCCCAGATGGAAGTCCAAAAAAGGCAACCTGAGCCTAGCCTCTTTGAAGTAAAACTCGTACATCGGAAAGCGCATCCGCCCGTATTTCAAGCAGATCCGATAACCTGGCCGGGGGCGGTAGACTTGCCAGTTTTGAGGATCTCCCTCTTCCCGGTCTTCCACAGTGGTGTAGGCCCCTGTTGGATCAGAAGCAAAATAGGAGGGCGTGGTGAGGGGATCCTCGGCCACCCAGTCTCCGATCGAGACGACGCGCTCATCAAAATAGGGTACGTCTGGCTCACTATCCTCGACCATTATGCCCAAGACGAGCGTAGTCATTAAACAACTGAAAAGCAGAAGGTAACGGTGAATTCGATGACATAGATCAAATTCACCCTTCCACCGCAAGTCAAGTGAAAGGGCGACGAGGACTCCCCGAGCATCGTCCCCGGGGGGTCTGCCCTAACCTACAACCTCCCCGGTTCAGTATGGCCCGAACTGTAAACCCACCTCGGAGGCATCCGTCGGAATAGACGTCGCTCCCAAGGACGTTCATTAGAGTAAAGAATCTTTCCCCGGGGCATTCATCGGAAAAAGCTTCCCTCCCCGGGACATTCATCGGAAAAGACTTCCTTCCCCAGGACACTCATCGGAACTAGCGTCTGTCCCCGGGGCATTCATAATAAAAACCCTAAAAAAACCTCGAGAGCGGCGGAGATTTTCACCGCTCCTTGGGGAAATCAAACGGCCCTGGCCACTATCAAGAAACAAACAAGAAAAGCAAGAGAGAAGAAAAGAAAACTTACTGTGATAAAATCGACGACGGAGAACGCGGCGGCGGTGACGGCGGAGATATCGGACGGCGGTGGAACAGCAGGCTGGAAACTTGAGATCAAAAGGGCGAAAAGTGAGAAGTGAGCAGGAGCCCACTCACTTATACCCCTGCACGGGACTCGAAGTGTCGCTAGACACTTGAGTACCCTAGGGTAGTCACTCTAGCAGCCACCCAGAATGCGACACATGGCGGAAGCAGACAGACGCGTCTCTTCACCTCTCCCCGCCAATACCCATCTTCTAGTCCAGACGATCGACGATGAAGGACACGTGTCCTCGCACGGAGGAATCCTACCCGGACCAGTCCACCTCCCCGGAACGACGAGATCAAGTCCTCATTCCCATCCTCAGAGCAACGACTTGGGGGGCTCCTGTTCTGGCCTGGGCCCCGGGCTAAATTATGCTGGCCCAGCCCAGTAATGTCCCACCAGGCCCCACGCAGTCCGAGTACCGGGTCAGGCACAAGATCCCCGGCACGCTAGAAAGACTCCCCCGCTAGGAAGAACCGTCCCATCCACGTCGGGCAAGATAATCGCCCGCACGACCAAGCACCACCCTCTGCGGGCGGTATTTCCCATGCCGTCGGGCAAGACCCCGTGGCCCTCTCACGTCCACGTGCGCTCCCCTCCTCGGGGAGAACAACGTGCCTCCGGGAAGCCTCGTATGCTCCCTCGTATGCTCCCTTCCGCGGGGAGAACAACGGGCCATGCGCACGTTCTCCACGTGCTCCCCTCCGCGGGGACACGTCATCCCCCAACTGCCCACCTCCGAAAGAGTAGGTCAAATCCACTTTCCGGAGACTACGGGACAGTTGGACTAGGGCGAAGACCACGTCCTGATCTTCACTACGCCACGTAAGCCCTAGCAGTCACCTGAGTTGGGTCTGGCCATCCAGCCCAACACAAGTGACCGTTGGCCGAGCGCTGGGGTCTCTCTATAAATACCCTCTTCCACAAGAGGGTCAGGTAAGTCACTTCTTACCCCATTTTCTATACTTTGCTCTCACTCTGCCCAATTCCTTACTTTGGCATCGGAATGTCTTGCAGGTATACCCCCCTTCTTCTCATCCCCGGTGAACAGGTAGCAGTCCAACAGCGTGTGGCCAGCCCGTGATCCCCTTCTGATCAGGTCAGATCAGATATCTTTGAAAAGATCTCTGGAATGGATTGCAAGTGCAGAAAAAATTCTCATTGTTGGAACAGATAACTTATCAGAAATTGGATGCATGCAAACCATTAAAATTGAAAAGAATATTCATAAATGGTAACAACAAAATCTGAATAACATCAAATATTTGTTATTCTCCAAAAATCCATTCTTAAAATCTAGATTTGCTTAATTAATGTATTTTAATATTTTGTGTAATCAACGTAAATTTTTTTAAAAAAAGAAGCTTACTCCCCTCGATTTTTTTACAGAAACCGAGAGGTATGTGATTCTTGGGATGAAACTTATTTGATTGTATTTTTTTTATTTTAAAAAAACACATTTTACCTCAGTTTTGAGTGACAGTCGAGGAAAAATATAAATGTGTTTAATGAGATTCTTAATCATCCTTAAAAAAATCTTTATCGTCCATTTAATAAGTATTAACGCTACAGACACTGTGATTAGTGATCTATGTGATACCTAATAGACATTATAAAAACATTCTGAATATTAAAAATTAATAATAAAATATTTGACATGAAAACTTTGAAACTTAAAGAAGCATAAAAAAGTTATTTGTGATAAAAAAAATATTTCTTTAATAATCATATAACTGAATGAAATGAATGAAACATCCAATATTTGATCTTCTCCAAGATTAATGAAACGAGGAATCACATTTGTTCTTCCCTAAGATATCCATCATTTGTTCTTCATCGAGATTCAAAATTTGTTATTTATTTTTATTTTAATATTTTGTGTAAACAATACAATATTCTATGTAGACAATATAATATTATATTTAAATAATATTGTTTGTAAACAAATTAATTTATTAATATTTTATATAAACAATATAATGAGTATTTTAAAAAAATACATTCCTCCGATTTTATCGGTAAACTGAAAGGTATATTATGCTAATTTTGAAAATCTAAGAAAATTATTATTGAGATCGAATCAATGACCGTTTCAATTATTTTTTCGATTATTCTAAAATCAAGTTATATAATGAAGATATTTCATAATGTCTTTCATTAACTCACATTTGTAAGCGAAGTTAAATATATATTTTTTGTAGTAGTAAATATTTCCTTTATATATGCGAGTTGATTCATTCATTAGAATATATTTCTCATAAAATAAAAATAAAAATGTGACTATTGACATCCACCATTTCAGTGAGACACATCACTTAACCATCATTCTTTAATAACAATTCATTATGATATTACTATTGGTAAAAAAGGAGAGCTTAGAGAATCATAACATCTGTATTAAAACAACCACATAAAATTAATTTAACATCACATCTCACCTCAAAACTTTAAACATTAATTTACAAAAAAATTATGTTGTTTAAAATTCGTTTTTACATCTTAACTCAATTATTATCAAAAGTGTAAGAAACGATAGCCTTTTTGCTGTTGCAGATTCAACGTACGAGGAGCTGGGGTCTACTATTACGTCATCAGGATGACGTCACCTCCACGAATACAATATTGACACGTGTCACCTCAAGGAGCCTTCGTTGCATCATCCACGAAAATGTTTGGAAGCATCGTTTTCATTTCAAGCTATAATAAAAAATCAAGTCTATATTAGGATTCATATACTATTTTTTCATTATTCTTACAGATTTTATTAAAAATATATCTATTTGTAGCGGTTGCACAATGAAATCCAAATATTACTACTAGCAAATCACTCATAAAAGAACAAAGTGTTTTGCTTGGTCTTATCTTATCTTTAACTGTGTCTAATTACTTGCAATGAATGTTTATTTTCAAAACCCTAATCCATTTTCTGGAGTTAATGATATACCTCCTCCTCTTTCCTCAGATTTCATTAACGTATCTGATTATCTAGTTCTTGATGATGATGTTTTTGCTAATCATGACTCTAATTGGCCACGAAGTACAGAAACTCCCGAATCATCAGATAAAGCAGGTTCCACCAATGATGTTACCAATGTCATTAATCAAGGGTTTAGTGATGAAATTGAAACCACTATCAACAACAACAACAATAACAATAACATGATCATGCAAGTGCATGCTTTTCATTTTTCTATCTATTTTCTTGTTCACATACAAATATATGTATAGTAATATTTATATTTATATATTGTGGACTCTTTTGTTTGACAGAAAACGCAAAAGTAGAGGGATTAATGAAAATACGGTAGAAGTGAGTCGAAGGGTTACGTTTAGAACGAGATCGCAGTTTGAGATTATGGATGATGGATACAAATGGAGGAAGTATGGAAAGAAGTTTGTGAAGAATAATTCCAACCCAAGGTAATTAGTATTTAATTTATGGTTTATTTTAATTAATGTTGAACACTTACACTTTACTCAAAAATAAAAAATCATGTTGGTTATGTTAAAGTTGGATATAATAGTGGTGGTGGGTCTGATTTGATGTATTATCATATAAATTTTTGTGGCGGCTGATATACACTATAGCATGATATGGAGAGGGGGCATGGACTCATCTTGTCATGATTAATTATAAACTGTTTACGGCATCAATATATAGATCACAATCATATATAGCTGTATCCATATGAGTTAGCAAACAAATGGTGTACAATTAATAAACCCTACTTGTTGAATTATATATATATATGTTTCATGTGTGGTTCTCGTTTGTTTGTCCTTCAATTCAGAAAAGTGTATCAACTTGTTGTTTCAATTTGAGTGTTTGTTTATGTCAGATCAACTTCCCACTTGTTAAATAATGATGTAAATGTTGTGTAAGTTTTTAGTTTTTCCAATAAATACCTATTATTTAGGCTAGAGCAGGTCAATTTCTGTTTTGCTATTTTTTTGCTATTAGTGGAGTTAGTGGAGCTAGTTGAGTCATGTCCTTTATTTTAGGATTTGCAGTTATTTACAGTTTTTATGTATTCCTTATAAAAAGGCATTGGAACCTATGAATAAAGCGGTCATTTTCTGGTGCATTTGCAATTCACTTACAGTTAACAATTGGCATCAGAGCTAAAGCAAAGCAAAGTGATCCAAGAGAGAGAAGATGAGCGACGACAAAACAGTCACCAAGATTCCACAGTTTGATGGTCACTATGATCATTGGAGTGAACTGATGGAAAACCTCTTGCGTGCCAAGGGTGTGTGGAGTCTAGTGCAAGAGGGTTACACCGAACCGGCGGAGGGAACCGAATCGACTACAGAGCAAAAGAAGACTCTGGAGGATCTCAAGATGAAGGACTGTCAAGTGAAGCACTACCTGTTCCAGGCAATTGACCGGGTTGTGTTTGAACAGATCTTGGATCGCAGAACATCCAAGATCATTTGGGATTCGATGAAGAGAAAGTTTGGAGGCAACGAAAGGGTGAAGCGGTCCCTTCTTCAAACCCTGAGAAGAGATTTTGAGCTTCTTGCAATGAAGAATGAAGAGAGCATTGATGATTACTTTGGAAGAGTAATGTCTGTCTCCAACAAGATGAGAAGCAACGGAGAAGACATGTCAGATTCGAAGATTGTTGAGAAAATACTTCGGACTTTGACTAACAAGTTCACATATGTGGTGGTGTCCATTGAGGAGTCAAAAGACATAGAAAAGATGACGATTGACGAACTTCAGAGCTCTCTGTCCGTACATGAAAAGAAATTTAAGAAGATCAGTCATGAAGAAGATGATCAAGCTCTCAATGTCAGAGGCAGAGGCAGAGGATCATACAGAGGTCGAGGCAGGGGCAGAGGACGCTCATTCAACAAAGCAACAATCGAGTGTTACAACTGCCACAAACTTGGACATTTCCAATATGAATGTCCAAATGGGAACAATGGAGCACATTTTGCAGCGATCGAAGAAAAGGATGAAGTTCTTCTCATGGCATATGTGGAACTTCAAGGTACTAGAAGAGGAGATGTGTGGTTCGTGGACTCTGGATGTTCAAACCATATGTGTGGAGAAAGAGACATGTTCTCAAGCTTGGACACTAGCTTCACACATAATGTCAAGCTTGGGAACAATCACAAACTGATGGTTGGTGGGAAAGGAGTGGTGAAGATAATGCTTAAGGGAATAAGTTATGTGGTCAACGATGTGTATTATATTCCGGAATTGAAGAACAACCTGCTGAGTGTTGGGCAACTTCAAGAAAGGGGTTTAGACGTGCTATTCAAAGGAGGAGATCGAAAAACATGCAGCATCTTTCATCCCTCGAGAGGAAAAATTGCAGAATCTGTTATGAGTGCTAATAGGATGTTTATCCTACTGGGTGAATCAAATGATAAAACAGAGGAGGAGAGATGCCTGCAGGTTGATATCTCAGACAAGACAGAGTTGTGGCATCATCGATATGGGCATCTCAGCTACAAGGGACTTCACACATTATGCAGTAAAGAGATGGTTGTGGGTTTACCTAAAATTGGAGATATGAAAACCACCTGTGAGACGTGTGTCAAAGGGAAACACCACCGTGTTCCATTTCCAAAACAGAGCAAGTGGAGAGCCACTGAAAGATTGCAGCTTATCCACTCTGATCTCTGTGGCCCGATCAATCCACCATCAAACAGTCAAATAAGGTACTTGATAAGCTTTATTGACGATTTCTCGAGAAAGACATGGATATATTTTGTGCTAGAAAAATCAGAAGCATTTCATCAGTTCAAGACATTCAAAGCGTTTGTGGAGAAGCAAACTGGATTGTTCATCAAATGTCTAAGAACGGATAGAGGAGGAGAATATAACTCAAATGAGTTCAAGGAATTCTGTAGAGAGCATGGAATCAAAAGACAGCTGACCACCGCCTTCACGCCGCAACAAAATGGCGTTGCTGAACGCAAAAACCGCACAATCATGAACATGGTAAGAGCAACGTTATTAGAGAAAGAGGTACCAAAATCTTTCTGGCCAGATGCTGTACAATGGGTGAATCACGTTCTTAACAGATCTCCTACACTCATTGTAAAAGATATGACTCCGGAAGAGGCGTGGAGTGGAAGAAAGCCATCAGTCGATCACTTTAGGGTCTTTGGATGTATCGGATATGTTCATATCCCTGATGTTAAAAGAAGCAAGCTCGATGACAAAAGCGTAAAGTGTGTCCTATTAGGTTTCAGCAGCAAATCCAAGGCCTTTAAGATGTTTGATCCAGTGGAGAAAAAGGTTCACATCAGCCGAGATGTGATATTTGAGGAAGATAAAAAGTGGAATTGGGAAGATGTTGGTTATTCTGGTGAAGAAAGTATTGAACTTGAGTGGGAGAATGATTATGAAGATGTTGAGAATGCAGAGGAGGCGGAAGAAGCGGAAGAAGACATTGATGCCGTTCCTTCACCAAATGATTCGCCAACTCTAGAAACGATAGCAACGACGGGCAGGGTGAGAAAACCACCAATCTGGTCTGCAGATTATGTCACAGGAGAAGGGCTATCAGATACAGAGGAAGAAGCAAACATGGCTAGAGTCGAGATCGAAAACCTAGCTTTCATGGTTATATCAGATCCGACCAGTTTTCAAGAAGCATCAGGACATCAAAAATGGAAACAAGCGATGGATGCTGAGATACAATCCATCGAACGGAACCACACGTGGTCGCTGACTGCACTTCCCATTGGAGCCAAGGCTATTGGGGTTAAGTGGATTTACAAGACCAAATTAAATGAACTGGGAGAGGTAGATAAGTTCAAAGCTAGGCTGGTTGTAAAAGGGTATGCTCAAGAGTACGGGGTAGATTACACAGAGGTATTCGCACCGGTGGCTCGAATGGACACAATAAGGATGATCGTTGCTGTTGCAGCACAAAGAGGATGGGGAATCTATCAGCTCGATGTCAAATCTGCTTTTCTGCATGGTGAGTTAAAGGAAGATGTATTTGTAGAGCAACCACAAGGCTATGAAGTAGCAGGGAAGAAGGACATGGTTTATAAGCTACATAAGGCTCTTTATGGACTAAAACAAGCACCTAGAGCTTGGTTCAGTCGCATTGAGGCTTATTTCGTCAAGGAAGGGTTTGTAAGCAGCTCTAGTGAACAAACATTATTCATCAAACAAAAGGGAGGTAAAATCTTAATTGTGAGCATTTATGTTGATGATCTACTGTTCACTAGTAATGATGAGGAGTTGCTGAATGAGTTCAAACACTCCATGAAGGATGAATTCGACATGACTGATTTGGGGAAGATGAGATATTTTCTTGGTATTGAAATGATGCAGAAGGCTGATGGCATCTTTATATGTCAAAGAAAATATGCTGCTGAGTTGATCGAGAGGTTTGGGATGCAAAATTACAACTCCGTTTGTAATCCGATAGTTCCTGGACAGAAGGTTGGCCGAGATGAAGCTGGTGTGAAGGTCGACTCAACGCTATATAAGCAAATGGTGGGCAGTCTAATGTATCTCACAGCCACCCGACCTGACCTGATGTTTGTGGTAAGTCTTATTAGTCGTTTTATGGCAAATCCCACTGAGTTGCACTTTGCTACTGCAAAAAGAATCATGAGGTACTTGAAGGGAACTGTAGAATTTGGGATATGGTATCAACGTGAAGGGAAGAGTGAACTCTTAGGCTACACCGACAGTAACTATGCGGGAGATGTGGATGACAGTAAGAGCACTTCAGGCTATGTTTTCTTGATGAGTGGAGGAGCTGTGGCATGGTCCTCAAGGAAGCAACCAATCGTAACTCTGTCAACTACTGAAGCAGAGTATGTAGCAGCAGCTACATGTGCTTGTCAAGCCATTTGGATGAGGAGGATATTGAAAGAAATCGGGCATGAACAAGATGAAGAGATGGTTCTGTTCTGCGATAACACGTCCACTATCAAGTTGTCAAATAATGCAGTCATGCATGGGAAGTCAAAGCACATAAGAGTCCGATACCATTTTCTAAGAGATTTGACAAAGGAAGGTGTCGTTAAATTGGTCTATATTGCAGCACCGAGGAGCAACTGGCTGACATAATGACAAAGCCTTTGAAGATGGCATCATTTCAAAGAATCAGAGAAGCTTTTGGGATGAGAGTTATGAACTGAAACTCTTGATCGAGTTCAGTTCAAGGGAGGGATTGTTGTGTAAGTTTTTAGTTTTTCCAATAAATACCTATTATTTAGGCTAGAGCAGGTCAATTTCTGTTTTGCTATTTTTTTGCTATTAGTGGAGTTAGTGGAGCTAGTTGAGTCATGTCCTTTATTTTAGGATTTGCAGTTATTTACAGTTTTTATGTATTCCTTATAAAAAGGCATTGGAACCTATGAATAAAGCGGTCATTTTCTGGTGCATTTGCAATTCACTTACAGTTAACAGTAAATGTGTAAAGAAAATTAGAATAGCTTAATAATTTTTAGAATTTGTATGTAGAGTACATCTCATATATACATCTATGCAAACTTATGTAGAATAAATAATTTTTGTGATGATTATGTACATGCAGGAATTACTATAAGTGTTCAGGTGAAGGATGTGGTGTGAAGAAGAGGGTGGAAAGGGATAGGGAAGATACAAGCTATGTGTTGACGAGTTATGATGGTGTCCACAATCACGAGAGCCCGTGCACTTGGTCGTACTACACTCCACCAGCAATGTCTTCGGTGTATTCCAATGAATGGCAACTGCAGCAGCAGGCTTCTGCAAACTCGTCGTCTTCTAATTATTCAACTAATACTTAGTTATATGTATAAGTATATATGTAGATCCTATTAATAAAGCATGGGAAGGTTTGGTGGAGTTGTAAGTTATATTGGCTGTAGTAGTTTTTTTTTTTGCTGAGTATTGTCTGAAGTTTTAAATCCGGTTGCAGTGCAACAAGGAGGGCGATGATGATAATATAGACAAAATGGTTAAATTGTTTGCATATGACAAAAGTGTTGACTCATCAGAATGAAATGGGTGGATTGGATCAAGTTGATATTTCAAACATGTCTCCATCGAAGGGTTATTCGGGATGTCGAGGCTTCCATGTGTGTGGTTAATTTGAGGCTTCGCTCGAATAAGCAAAGTGATTCATCTTCTGGATTTCATCTGATGTGAATGTGATGAATTAGATTCAATTCTCTTCTTGGAAATGGTTTTTGGCTACGTCTACATGATCTTCTTGCACACTTTGGTTCGACCTCTCACTCAGCAGGGTTCATTTTTTGTTTATGGTATTTTTCTCCTCCCACTTGGGTTCCTGTATTGTTGCCTTATTTGTTCTTTCTATAGGGATTTGTTGTAATGTATTAGAGTACCTCTTGTACTTACTTTTGATTACTACCTATATAATATTTTGTCCTTTGACCGTCTAATTGAAAAATAACTGATCTTAAACAACAATATTAATGAAAAACAATAACACATGCTCCATCAATACTTTTTCTCTGAGTGCAGTAAGGTTTAGGGCTTGAGCTTTCATTGTTGAATCAACAATTGCCCTCTATTCTCCGAGTCACAGCAATCCTAGACTCAAATGCAAGTCTCAGAGACCAATCAATTTAGATTAGAATCTTATGTTAATTATTTATAATAACTCAATTATTTATTATGTTTGTTTCAATGTATATTTGTGTATATTAGTTAATCATATTAATGATATATTAAGTGTGACTTAAATGTAAGACAAGACACCTTTAAAATTTAGGATGACGTTCTTAAAATAAATGTAATTCAACTTTATTTTTAAATAAGACAATAATAATGCATAAAAACTATTATATGATTAGCGTGATTATCATATCTCACAAGTTATTGATATGATTATGATTTCGCATAGATATTAATATTATGAATAATATTTATATTAAATTGATTCACTATGAGAATACTACGTAACATGTAAGTGTCATAAGTTATTTTCATAGTGATAGTGATGTATGTCACTCTTTGATTTGAAACAACTATTGTTCATATATATGCTGAATTGATCGTTTTAGTAGCATCAAATGTTGTTTGTAACAAGAAAATTTTGAAGTTGGCTAAATGGGTACTCCATGAGTCATGCAGAGAGACATGAAAGACCTAGATAAAACTTATTCATCCTTCATTTATATGAGTAATGACTACTATAAAAAGTACCTTTCACAACGATTGGAAAAGAGATTCAACCTCAGGTGACAGTTTATGACAACGAAGAGTATGTGGTAGTAAGTGAGCTACATAGTACCATGGACTATTGGTCGCGGTAATAAACCAGAAAACACACTACATATTACCACAGTTGTAATAAACAACTGTAGTGAAAGATGGAAAGATCATTACACTACTACAAATAATACATTTTATAATAATGATTTCACCTCAACTATCAAAAAAATCGAGGTATAAATCCTAGACGCGCCATGTTTTATTTTCTTTCTAAAAAATACAATCTATTCCATCGGTTTATGTATATAACCGAGGGATAAAATAATTCAAAATACATACATCGAATTTCAACAACTGCATATTATGTTTTTATTTCATTAAAATTGGCGTCTTCCTTCATGTTTTATTTTTATTCCAAAAATAATTCATATTTCACCTCAGTTATGTCTCTCAACCGAGGGGAAATAGTTTAATCTTATTATATATAGTTTGCCTTATAGCTTTCAGTTTCACTTGCCAAAAACAACACACTGCACATACATAACCCTAATGAATAGCCCTAAACAACGAGATCCCTAAAGACATTCATCCTCCAGAATGATTATGTGTTAAAGACTCTCATTTGATACTTGTCAAAATGAACGACGAAATCATTTCTTTCACATATTATTCACATATCTGGTACGTCAAACATCATTAATACTTTTACATTATTGTTGTTGTTGTTGTTGTCGTCGTTGTTATTGTTAAGACCCTCTAAATGTTTAATATTGATGTTGTTTAAATTCAAATTGAATGTTATATGTTGTTGTTTTTATTGAAATAAGTATCTTGTAGGTTTATTGTTGATGTTTATGTAGTTTTGCTGAGAAGTTGATTTTTTTTTTGAATTGTTGTTTAATGTTGTTGTTTAAATTGAGATTAAATGTTAATCGTATTATTGTTGTTGTTATTATTTATTATTGTTTTTTAGTTTTTGATGTTATTATTGTTGTTGTTTAGTTATTCTACCTCATAGCAATGTTTTGAAATCTATATGTTGTTGTTTAGTTGATATTATTGAGTTTGAGATTGAGATTATGTTTTTGTAATTCTTTGTGCAACTCTCATCTTGTTCCGCCGAACATATCAAAAGGACATTAGAGTGATAAAAAATACAGTTGAGTTTATTATATCTAATGTCGGTTGTTTGTTTCACTAACTCCTCTTTGAACATATAACCTATTAAATTGATTTTAAAAATAATAATATGAAAAATTATGTTTTATTTGAAAAACATCTTACACTAATCATTATTTTTTGAGCATTCTGCAACTCATCATTCATCTCACATTCTTTAATAATTAAAATCTCTCTCAATGCTTCTAGTTATTCTTCAATGAAGAACTTGAAACTTTGAATGAGATTTGAACCATTAAAGAACGAGAGATGAATGATGAGTTACAAGATGCTCGAAAATTATTGAGTAGTGTAAATTATTATTCAAATAAAATATAATTGTTCATATGATTATTTTGTAAACTAATTTAAAAAGTTATATATTCAGTTAGAGTTTGGTGAAACAAGCAATCCACATTATATATAATAAACTCAATTATGTTTACCCATCGGCTAAATGTGAAAACGGAGGGGAAATGTGGTTTTGCTATTTAATAATTTCAAAAAGGTCATCGTTGGGGATAAAACCCATGACCATTACACCTTTCCCGTCAGTTTTATTAAAAGTGAGAGGTAATGTGGCACAATTTCTATGACCCCCTTCGTTACATCGCTTATGAAATTGAGGTAACACCTTGTTTTTAACTGAGATTAAATATATTATTTATAGTAGTTTTGGTTAGATACCTAACAACGTTATTTTTGACGTTTATTAAATTGGATAGCTCGTTACATATCACCACGGTTGCAAGAATCGATTGTGGTGAAATATTTTGTTTTTGTAATATATATTTTTTATTTTACAAAATTCTCATTTTTAGCTTTTGTTTTTGTGAATCAGAAACAACACAACAATATATTTAAAAATCAAAAACAGTTTGGCAACTATTATGAACCAAATATATGTATTATATCAAAAACAAAACGACACCAAAATGACACACATTTTATACATCATTAGATTAAATAAGAAATCAATCAACATACAAAAATATTGTGCATTACATGCATTATTTTGAAGTAATCAAGATGCGCAACGTGATCAGACGTCTTTTGGTGTCTTGTCTCTAAGCACCTATAATTTCTAATAATAATACTTGTTAGTGTAAAACACTTGGAAATTATAATATACAATAAATTGTAAAAAAACAATAAAAAAATATTTACTTAATAATTTTTCCATATGCCTTCTTCATGATCTATATGAATAGCATGCACATCATATATCAACTTCTTCATATGAAGTAGACACATGTGTTACGTAAGGAGTCTCAGGAGTATAAAAATATAAATCATGATTTTCATCATTATGATAAATGTGTTTTCCTTGAAGAATAATTGATCGTATTTTGTCACAATGGTCAGTGACATAAAACATTTGTTTTGCTTGAAATGACATGATGAATGGTTTGGTCATACAAGTTTTCTTGTCAAGGTCAAGTCGTGTGAATCCTAATTCATTAAACTGTTCACCTGTGTTATTACTAAAACACTTACTTTTAAACAAAGGCACCTTGAATAAAACATAATAAACCTCCCAAATCTCCTCAATGATCCTAAAGTACGCTCTAAATGCCATTATAGTATTCTTATCTTTCGAACTAGAGAAGTACATGGATTCAGCCTCAACCATAACTTCATTACTTTACATTGTACTAGGGTCATCTTTTGATTTTTTATAAAAGGAAAACTTACTAATGTCATATGCAGCCTAAGTTACTACATTAAATTTAGGCATGTATGACATCCATTTAATTGTCTTAGACGTACTATCATCATTATAAATTCTTTCATTAAACTAATTTATAAAATTCTTGTTATGCTCTTTCAATAATCACTTGTCACTCTTTCAAGGATATTTTTTCTTAGTAAGTTTTTTGTGAGCAACTAAGTAAGGTTGGATTTCATCAACATTATTCAATATATACAAATGTGCTTGAAGAACTATATCACGAGCCATTGAATTAACATTTAAACCTTGAGTACCTCTATTTCATATCTCCCATCATGACAAGACTTTGGAATTCTTATAGACTCAGCTTCTGAAAAATAGTTTGAACATAACTCAACAGCTTCTTTTGTGACGTACCTTTCAAAAATCGAAGCTTCTAGATGGTGATGATTCTTCGTATATCTTTTAAATGTATTTATGTATCGCTCTATTAGATACATCCACCTTAAATAATTTGTACCATAAAAATATGAGATCTCTGACTAGCTGAACAATTAAATGAGTCATAATGTCAAAAAAAATGATAGATGAAAATACATCTCCTAGTTGACATAAGATTGTTGCAACCTCATGTTCCAATTCATATAATTTTTAAATTAAGAACTTTATTACATGTAGCATTAGATAATAAGCACAATTTGGTTATATTTACCCTTATATTTTTTGGTAAGATGCCACTAATAGCGACCGGTAGAAGTTGTTGCATCAAGACATGAC